CGGACTAGATGATCTGCTCAGGTCCCTTCCGACCCTAGAAACTATGAAACTATGAAGACAGAATTTCCTTATAGCCAGCTGTTCTATAGACTCTGGCTAATCAGCAGCACTACAGACTAGGCACCGCAAGCTAGAAGTGTACCCATGGGCTAAGTACAGACAGTCAAAAAGCCTGAGGTTGAATCAGTTCAATCTAGGCAGCTTCCTTTAAGCTGTGTAGGTTGAACCAATAATCAACTGAACTGACATTCAGTTTTCAATTGGGAAAGGCAGGGGGAGGTCTGCACTGACCCAGGCCAGTAAGTGGGGGATGCTAGAGCACGTCTCCCAGCCTGCTGGCCATTGCCAGCCCAACCAAGTATCCCCAAACCTGTGCTGTCCCCCCACGGGGGGTTAAGAAGTCCCCTAGCCAGGGGCTGGTCCACCTTGGAGGAGCCTCCCCCTCAGGAGGTTTCCCCCAGCCTGGGTTCCCCAGCCCAGGCACTGTGGAGCTGAGGGGAATTCCCGCCCTCCCCCTTTCCAGCTGCTGATTGCTTCAGTGGCTGCCACAGGAGAGAGGGAGGAGACCTCTGGGCCAGGTGCTCACCCATGAAGCCCAGCATGGGGGCACTGAGGAGCCCTGGCTTAGGGGGTCCCTCCCCCAGCCCCGGGTCTTCTAGCCCAGCCCAGCCCCAGGGTCCCAAAGGGAATTCTTCCCCTCCCCAACCCCAGCCCTTTGCCTTAGCTGCCATGGGTCTCAGGAATAGACCAGGGAGTGGAGGGAAATTCACCTGCTCCCCTGCATTAGTTTTGCCTCAGACTTGCAGCAGCTAAGGCAAAACCACCTGTGGAGGTGCAGGAGAATTTCCCTCCTCTCCCTGAAGCTGCCTGAGACTCACAGCAGCTAAGGCAAGCAGCAATGCAGCTTGGGAGGAGAAGAATTCCCCTCAGCTCCCTGGGGCTGCCCCAGGTTGGGGGAACCTGGGCTGGGGTGTGGGGAAGCCCCCTAAAGCAAGGGTTCCCTGGTGCACCCATGTTGGGCTGCATGGGAAGGCACCAGGCCCAGACATCTGCTTCTTCCTCTCTCCTGTGGCAGCTGTTGAAGCAGTCACTAGCTGGGGAGGGGAGAGCGCTGCCAGGTTCAAAATCCCCTACCACAGGTGCTTTCTCTCTGCCCACATGCTATATAGACCCTAGTCGGGGGGTCTGGGGATCTGTTCCCCTGCCCCCTGTCCCTATGGGCTGATGGACACAGACAGGAAGCAGGCTAAGGAACGGAGAGGCAAGGCAGCACCTGCTCCACTGGAGCAGGCAGCGTAGCCCAGGGCTACAAACCATTCTGGGATGCTGGGAGACTGTGAGTTAACTTGAACCAGAAAGAGGTCTGGGACAGAAGTTCCATAAACTAGTTTGACCTAAGTCAGTTAAGTCTGATAATACATCCAGCTAGGTTTAGCTTAAACTGGTTTTGGCCATTTTGAAAGTGGTTTACGTGCACTGAATTTCTGTCCTGTTAGAGGTTTAAACCAGTTTCTATTCACTTAAACCAGTTTATGTGTAACTTCTGTCCCTAGCCATGTACACTGTTTTAGTCCTCATGACCGGAAAGCAACTTCAATGGCCCCAAGGGGTCTGACTGTTCCAAGAGGCCAGGAAGCATGGATGATAAGCCTTGCTCTGCCACAAATGTTCTATGCAACTTTAAACAGAGCAAGCCCACTCTCTGCATACCTGTTTCCACTCCCACCCTTTGTCTATCTTGTCTCTTGAGACTCTTAACACCTCCAGGGCAGGAACTGTTTCTTTCTGTGTGTTTATATAGTGACTAACACAGCGAGGCCCTGGTCTGGATTGGTGTCTGTCAGGGTTTCTGTGATATAAACAAATAACAATGAATTCAGGGTTGGCCAACAGAAATCACAGGGACTGTGCAACATGTGTAGGACTGAACTGAGCACTGAGTGAGTTTTTGTCATAAAATTATGGCTGCTGATTATGGCTGCTGCTTTGGAGGAAAGCTAGAGCAAAGTCAGTATTATTCAGTACCTTTGTCTGATATCAGATAGCTAGCTTGCCTGTGTAACAGATGGGAGGAAAAACCATTTCCCTTGAGCTTCGACTTCACGTATGAAGCAGTGTGCAGGAGTAGGCAGCACTGCCTGTGGCCCCATTGTACTCAGAAAAGTGTTCATCAGAACAACAGCAGCAACTGCAAAGCTCTTCAAGTTGTCGCAGAAAATTATTACGCTGCTTCTACTTGAAGTTAAAATTGTGATAAAATGTAGTTAAATTCATGCTAGTAAATGAAAGAGAAAAGGCAAATGCTGTCCTGCATGGTAACCATACATCTTACAATTTAAAACAAAGCTGGGAAAATTTTAATTTTATTCCCTACAGTTGAAGTGCTTAATTCTGTCAATTCATTTTAACAACAGCCTTTAAGAAACAAACTATGGGATACATTTTGCCTGGTATGTAACTGCCTGGATTATTTCAGGGGTGCAGTGCATTTTGACCACATTTAAGACACATTAATACTACTCACCTACAAGAATAAACCCCCAATATGGTCTGATTAATAACCTCTAGTATTCCTTTTCTAGTACACCTTTCAAAATGTTTTGCAATTCACTAGTTTTTACAGAATAAAACATTCCTTCCACACTGCAAGAAAGAAACTAGCTTGACCTGAAATTGACCTTTATATGTACAAGTTTATTTATTGTACCGGAACTGAAAACAGAAAATCTTCACAAAACAAAGCCAAGCAATGAACAGAAACAGCTTTGAAAGCAAACGAATTGTACTTACTGAAAGATGGGCCTGAAGAAAAACCATGGGTATGGTATGGGCACAGTCAGACTTTGAGGCACATAAAAACTCAGCATCAATTCAATTTCATAAATAGCACTAATTTGCCTCAAATCCAAAATCCTGACTGCCCTGAATTTGAGGGATGTTTATCATTTAAAACCACAGCAAAACACTGTGTTTGCAATCCACATGTATGTTAATATTTCTCAAGAAAAAGTACTCCTGAGGGGTGAGACGGTTAAATTTTACGTGGGGCTTGTTTCAAAGCATATTCAGTGCAGACTGGAACTGCTATGAGATTGCTGCTAAAAAATTTGGACTTGCAGTGACTTGCTGGAATTCAGAGTAGTACTCATCCTTTCAGTTAAAACCACTTTTCAGTACAGCCCCTAACCACATTCTCATATAGAAGCAATCGTGACTATGTGCTTCCTTCAAAATGATCCGTGCACTTTTTCAATATGTCAGTTTATGTGATAGGAGGGTTAAGGCAAGGACATGGGAATATATGTTTAGCTTCACTGATGAATGTGATAGCTCCTACTCCTGAGCTAATGAACCTTTGAAATACTCACACTAACTGATGACCTCCTGAGGTCTCTTCCAACCCTAATTTTCTATGATTCTGTGGTTCTACTGGTCTTATCCTTTTTGCGTTGCAAATGGACTTGCATATAGGAGATGGGGAAATTATCAATTTCCTCTGCGAAAATTTTTGCAAAAGTGGAAAAAATCACTTATTTTAGAATTATTTTTGTTGAAGAAAAATGAAAATGGAAAATTTCAATGAAAGCAAAGGGCCATATTTTCCTTGTGGACACAATTAGTTCCACTGACACTGAAGTTTGTTGTGTTATCTGAGTAAGGTGATCTGGCTTGGACCACCTAAAATCTCTGAAGTATTACAAGGTTGAGCTGCAGTGTTTGTTCTCTATTAAGATTCATATTCAGAAAAGGGTTTTCCCACAGGGCTTTTAGTGTCAGCCAGACCCCAAAAGTACTAAGATGCACTAAATTTACACATGATAGCACTGGAGACAGAAGGAGAAATAACCCAGGGTTTTCAAATCACATTAGAGCTGTCACATGAGTTTGGCCCGAGTTTTGTTTCAAAACTGCATACCTAACCACATTATTAAAATACTAATGTGCCACATATGAGCTTCCTGAATGAACTATATTTTACTTTTCTCAGCCATCTGTTTTTTAGAGTTGATGTTGGTGGTTTTAGTTCTGCTGCTAAAATGTACCTTGCACCCAACATACTTCCTGTTCTGGGTTTTTCTTGCACAGACCATGAGAGAGAAGACAGCTTTGGAGACTGTAACCATCCTGAGCAGCGCTAGAAAACCGGAAGCAGTCTGTTGATGTTGCTAAGAAAATGCTCACACACTGAAAACAATCCCAGAAAAACAACAGAGAAAGAGAGAGAACCTTTACAAGTCTGTAGAAGTGTTTTACAGATTAGTGCAACCTATTGGCTTAGTTATTTTAGGACCAACCTAGATTCTTCCAGGGAACAACAGGGTTCAGTGGAGAAAGTACTAGCTTAGAAGTTATAAGCCAGCTCCATAGCTCTAGACAAGTTACCTCCCTCTCCCTACCTCCGTTTACCTTCCCATTCTTCTTCTTGTCTTGTCTCCTTGGCTGGGTGCAGTGGGGACACTGATGTCAGTGGAGTAGGACTGGAGTACAAGCAATAGTATTAAAAAAGATTTGTGGGGCTAAGAAACCATCTGAGTCATACTTCTACAAAGGGTACGTGGTGCACGACTGCTTTGAGACAGCTGGTACAACAGGCCAGTGTTATGAAATACTGAGCAGTGGTGCTATCTGCACACTTGCTTCACACAGTCCTATTCCTCAGGTGAGCTCAGGAACTGATACCATTCAGTCTCTCAGTAGGCCCATGACACAGGGGCAAGGGGTCTCTCCAGCTTGTATAGCTGTGCAGGAAGCAGAGCACAATCGAGTCCTAAAAACAGAGAAGAGGGAGTAAAGCTTGTAAAGCACCAGGAGGCTCCTAAAGGGTGAAAGCTTCTCTGCAAATGCAGGCCACACATCTATTTAAAAGTAGCCTGCAGTTTTCTTTTACCTGAATACATTACAAATGAAAGCCTCATTTGTTGTAGCTCAGCTATGGTAGCCAGTTTTTCTTGTTAAGGTTGCCTCTGATGATACTATCTCATTATTACCAGAATCTGGGTAAAACACAGTTAATTTCCACTTGTAACAAATTTAGCTGCAGCTAATATTTTTGTCATGTCTTAGGTTGTTATAAATGAATTCAAAGTGCAGTTAACCTGCTCATAAAGCTTTAATTAGAAAGCACAGACTTGAACTTTAATCAGGAACAAAGCTGTCAAGAGTTGTGTGGTAAATTAGATAATACTGTATGGTTTGCATCCAGGGAGATTAAGACAGATTGATGCCACAGCTGAAAATATCTGTATGTGCATGTTCATTCTGACTAACACAGCAGATGCTACATACATTTTAGCAGAATGGTTGAATAACATATAAATATGACCCATAAATAATTTAAGCAACATGGAGCTCAAAAAGTTAATGAAATTAGTTATGAAACAAACACTGTCTGACCTACTTATATAAAGAGCAGGACAAAAAATATGAAAAATTATATATCAAATAACTCAAGTGATGAATTATTGCAAAATGTTGTGAATGGATTGTTTGATAAATATTGTTTGACTGGATTTACTTAACAGAAGTGCAAGAATGTGTGTCATTTATTTCTTCATCATATTTATGTCCCAAAACTGAAATGGTATTTGTATTTATCCATACCCACAGATGTGAATGCGCATGCTTGCATGCATACGTACATACAATCTACCATGAACACACAATTAAAGTTGAACAACCAAATACTGAGTCAGTGAAGTACTGTCAAAAGGAATATGCTTGAATCACTCCACAACCTCCATACAAGCATAGGGTATAATTCTCCTTTCACATATACCAGTGTTTTTCCTGGGCAAATCTATTTATTTCAAAAGGGCTACTCCTGATTTACACCAGTCTAAGACTGGTACCAGTGGGTGCATCTACGTGAGAGGTTTACTGGGTGCTTCTACACATTCATTAATGTGCCTTAGATATTGTGCATTAGTTTAGTACTTCCTTAATAAAGTATAAACTAAATGCACAGTACCTAGAGCTACTGCACAGTAGCACCAGTGCGCTGTTATTTAGTGACACTTACTGTACGTTAGCCTAATAACAATGTGAAGTAGGCTATTAGCACAGTTTTTGCCATGACACGCTCTGTGCAGTGTTATTAGGCTAACGTGCAGTAAGCATCTCATGTAGATGTGCCCACTGTGCAGCTGCCTAATTAACTGTGAAGTAAACATCCCAGCATCTATATATATGCCCCTATTAGGGCAAATGAAACTACTAAACTCTGAAGCAGGCTAATACTTATAAATACAAGTACTAGCCTGCTCCGGAGTTTTTTCATGTGTAGTAGTGCACGTGTAGACACTGACGTGGCTGGCTGGAGCACAAGGGTGCTTCAGTGTGGGGGAGGAGCTGCCTACTGGCTAGCTCCACACTGAATCACCCTCGTGCCCCAACCAGCTCCTCCACAGCACATTTTGCCCAGTTGGAGCAGCTCCAGGCTGGCAGACTGGACCACCTGCCAGCCTTGGCTGCTGCAACCCGGCTCAATGTCCTGTGGTCTAGGTGCACATGCAGATGCGCGCCCAGAAGCAATAACCTCCAGAGAGATAAGCTTTGGAGCTTATTGCTGTACATTAATAGGCATGTGTAGAGGCCCCCAGTTGTACTGTTTTATAACTAATGGAAAATATTAGACACACTTGTAAGTTCACAAACAAATTAACATTTAGTAGGTACATGGGCTCATGTTTGGTTTTGTAACCCTACTGATTTCAGTGGAGTTAAACCAAGAATACATTGGGTACAGGATCTGCACTTCAATCTGATACTGCACAGTACAGGCTCTAAACTGATAATATGAGCACATAAGAGATGGTAAGTGCAATATATAGCTTATGCAACCAGTCTTCAGTCTTTTATTTGCCCCCCAAAAGAAAAAGACATTATTATTATTTAGGTTGGAGTAGCAGACAAAATGTCCTAGGAGTCTTTTAAACAGAGAGACAGACACAGCACCTGCCCTGAAGAGTGCAGATACATGGGTCAGCTTGTAGCTCATGGGCATGGGGAAAGGAAATGTCACCTAAAGGTCATAGAATCTATGTTGGGAAGCAGGGAGTTATAAACCTCTGGGAATAGATCCACTGAATCAATGAGCCTCTCGTGATTTATATCTATGCGTGTGACTCAGGCATGTAGGACTGAAACTGCATGATGCTGAGTAAGCACTCCCTTTGGCCCAACTAATGTCGAGCATTTAAGCACGTGAGTATTGATGTCACTACTACTCACATGCTTAACGTGAAATGTTTGCTTAAGTGCTTTGCTGGCTGGAGGTCAGAATGTCCAGGACCCTGCAGGCTCTAACCCTGAACATCAGAGGCATAGCTGTTCGGTTCTGTACCCTGGGCAGTGGTTGTACATGGTGCAAGGGTAGTAGCCAGAGGTTTGCTAGTGGTGGTGGGGCAGGGAGAAGTGCTGCTTCCTTTATTTTTGCCACTGATATGTTGATGAGCCATTTAAACATCAATTTTTAGTGGGGAAAAAAAAGGGAAGGCCACAAAGTTAACCCCCTCTGACACCTCCGCCTTTCTCCATCCCTTCCCCCCACACTGTTTGCTATCATCACTCAAATGCTGCCACTGCTGCTCTGCACTCCTTGCTAATGGAGCCAGAGCTTGAGCCACTGCATGGAAGGTACTGGATGTGGAGGGAAATGGGGAGGAAATAAGGGAACAAGAGGGTGAGGTGCTCTCCAGGCTCCATTCTGGCACCCATATAAGGGTGCTCACCCATCCACTGTTACACTGCTGCTAAACATAGAGTATTTCCATTCGGAACCACCATACAGTTTCATAGTTGCTCCTGAATGACTGTGTTGACCATTTTTCTTTTTGTGGCTGGCAACATTTTCTTTTCTATGTGTAGAATGGACAATCTGGGTCAGCATCACCTTGTGGACAGATTTCTGTTATGTCCAAACACAAACTGCACACAGCTAGAAAAAATGGATTTGCAGCAGAAGGCCAATTTATCAAAATCAATCAGAATCCACACTATTTGTGGGAAATGGCCGCATGCAACAGGAGGTTTGTCAAGAAAGATTTCTTACAAGCATGAAATTTAACATTAAACCCAGAGAGTAAGAGCATGCCTAGAATAGCCAACTGCTGAGTGATTAGGATACTCACTGAAGATATGGGACACTGAGGTTTGGGTCATGCTTCAGGCAGTTAGAAGCCAACCCCTGGTTTTCCACATCCCCAGTGATTATTGTCACCAGACCTTTTTCTCTTACGTCACAAATAAACACAAACTTTTAAAGGTCTTGGTGACATCTCTGATCCTTGACTATGACCTCTAGGAACTACTCCAGTAAAAATATTAAGTATTAACAACAAGACTATTCAATAAATATTGCAAAGACATTTTTTCCTGAGTCATTTGTAAGGCACTGTAAGTCACTTGCACAGAACTCTGTAAAGAATATGTGATGATAGTAGCAATAAGAATGCATTAAAAAGGTAGCACCTGCATGGCATTAAGTTGACTTACCCTTGAATACATAGGATTCTTTATGAAATGTCAAACTCAGGAATGCAGGAATCTACAAATTATGATGAATCACACTCTTACAAAATATATAAAGCTTTATCATACAGTACATCTGCAGTTATAATGACTGTAAGAGATCTGCAACTTAAACTGCAAACAACCCTAGAGGACCTGGTTCTGTAGTTTTACTGTACCAGGAATTCAGGAGTGTGAACAAAAAAGTCTTTATGCAAAGCTCGGAAAGCACTAAAAACTGAAAAACAGACTTGTATGTTCTTTGTGTAGCAAAGCAATTTCCCAGAAAGGTTTCTAGTTTTACGGTTAGCTTTTGTACTGAAAAGAAAAGAAAGATAGTAACCTTTAGAGTGAGTGACAGTAGCATGAAAACATAATACTGTGTGAAAACATATTATATTACATATTGCATCATCTGGTGGTTTAATTAATTGTACAATATTAGTTTCTGTTGACATCAAGTATTCTTACTCTAGCAAAATAAATCATAGACAGTTTCATAATCAAAAAACCATGTTTCATTAGGGAAAAAATATGGGCAATTATATTTGAACAACTTGGCCCCCATTCTTGGGTTGTGCTGAGCTGCAGTCTTTACTGAACTGATGGGAGCAAGAGAGGGCAAAGGTAACTTTATATCACATCTACATAAACTAGAATATCGTCTACCCCTAGAAAGTCCCTGGTAACCCATTGGCAACTAGCTGTATGGCCCCTTTCCACCAGAGACGAACTAGCTCTTTAGCTTCATCTGCATTATGTATGGGATAAATATTGCATTTCAGGAGCTGGGGAAGATGCATTTCCTTCATTCTATTCACATTTCTGCTGCTGACTTCTGTAAGCCTCTTAACTGTTCAGTGCCTCGGTCTTCCCTCTGTAAAATATGGATAATACTTCTCAAGAGATTTTGGCTCCAGGGATGAAATTGGTATATCTTTATTACTATTAGGTAAATTATTTGTGAAATATACACTATGAAAATTTTCTGGAGAGAAACCTACCTGTGAGACAAGTCAACTGTGATCACATGGCACAGGAGGTTTTGCACAGAAGCAATTCCAGTGACACTGGGTGCATCTACATGAGACATTTACTGCACAGTTGACTAATTAACTGCACAGTAAACATCTCAGCATCTACACATGCACCTGTATTAGGGTGCATGAAACTAATAAACTCTGCAGCAGAGTAATACTTGTAAATATAAGTACAACCCTGCTGCAGAGTTTTTTCAGGCACAGCAGTGCACATGTAGATACTACTTCAGCTGGCTGAGTCACAAGGTGCTTCAGTGCAGGTGAAGGGCTAACTGGCAGGCAGCCCCCATGCTGAAGCACCCTCATGCCCCAGCCAGCTACTCCACCGCACATGGAGCCTGGCCAGATCAGCCCTGGACTAGCAGGTTGACCCCCTGGGTCTCCTGCCAGCCCAAGCTAATCTATTTCTGTACCATCCTTATAGTTAAAAGGCTTTTCCTAATATCTATCCTGTACATTGCCAGTTGCTTCTTGCTGTATACCCACTGCACATGGAAAACAATCTGTTACCATCTTATTTATAATAATTTGCATTTTTGAAGATTGTCATCTCATTTATTCATTCTCATTCCTGTCTACATGGAAAGATTAGAAGTCACTCAAGTGCCCCTTATAGATAGACACCTACTTAATTCATGGGAACTGCCCCCCTGATTTCATGGTCCGAGCATGGCACTAGTCACCATTTTCACAGTGGAGTGTGGTGGGTCCACCATGCCTCTGATTTGTTGAAGGGCCCCAGAAGTCCTGCCCCTCCCTGGAAATTGACAGATGGCCATCTGTCAATCTCCGGGGAGGGACAGGACTTCTGGGGACCCTCAGTCAATCAGAGGCATGGGAGGGGGCATGCCTCACTCCACTGTGAAAATTTCCCCCTGCCCCACCCACCCTGCCCCCATGCGTCAGGATGCCAAGGCTTCCTGCCTCTTTTTTCCAGCAAGTGAAGGACGGGGTGGGGGGGGGAAGGGAGAGGGGGAAAGAGAGAGCTCCCTCTTCCCCCTCTTCCCCCCACCTTTGCTTGCTGGCCATTTTTTCAGTTCTTTTGTGATCCACGTGTTTTTTCATGGGGACTGGGCTCTTTCATGGGGGACCTACCAAATTCACTGTTTCCACAAAAAAAGCAAAATCACAAATTTGGTAGGTTCCTACTTATGGATCACAGATTTGAAATCTCTTACACTCGTGTTTGATTTTCCCTAACCTATCTCCAATTAATTTATAGTCTTCTTAAAGGGTAATGCCCAAAACTGGACACTGTACTCCATTTGTGGCCCTACTAGTACTGATCAAGCCAAATAACTACCTCCCGTTGCTGACGTGCAA